TGTGTGTGTGTGTGTGTGTGTGTTTCCTGTTTGGAGGCTAAACCAGGCCGTACCAATCCCCTTGTATTCTGTCGAAAGGTGAAGCCCTGCATACAAAACTTACCAAGAGTTCTCATCTATCTCACTGCCTCCAACTTTCCCTTCCATCCTTCCTTTGTCTTCCCTCAAACATTTTTCATTCTTTCCTGTCTTGGTTTTTTCCCCACCTACCTCCTCAGCCTCCGTGTCTTTACACACTGTCCCTCTGTCACCCTGACTTGTTCCCTGTCTACCAAATTCTGACCCACATTGCACAGTCCCCTCCTTGCTTAAGGATTACCTCTCCTAATCTTCGATGCTATTAAACCTCCAGGACAGCTCCACCCTGCCCGTCACTCCCTGTGAGACAGTCAAAACAACAGCTTGGGTGTCACCAGGGGTACCCTCTATATACACACATGAGATAAACCACTTACGGATATTAGCTTTGGAGTTTGGAATTGAGCAGAGAGGTTTATCGTAACCACAAGTGAGGCGGATGATTTTAACTTGTACCTGGACTGTGCTGCTGCATCAAATGTTTGCTCCTTTAACAAACCTACAAGTGCACCAACCCAAAGAGTAATCTGAGGGATTTATGAGGTTTTAGCTGCATGGGGAGACTGAGAGCCTAGTGCTACCCTCTCAGGTGCTGAACCCTGGATTACTGCTAATCAGGAGCCATGAAATTAGCAAGCGAACAACAGACTGCAACATTTCAGTGTACCATCAGTGTGTTGGGTTATTTTATTTTATCGTTAAACAAGTTGCTTATTTTACAAATCAATTTAAATTAAATAGTTATTTTATAAAATCACGTGTTTGTTTAACAAAGTGCAACATCCTCTGTCCTTAACCCTCAACAAAACTCCCAAATAAAACTCTACTAATGGGGGGAAGGTAGAAACCTCAGAGAGAGCCACATGTGAGGATCTTTCTCCAAGGATGGGCAGAAGTGCAATAGATGCCGTGTGTAGCTGAACACGTGTGAGCTAAGCATGTGTGATCAAACATTTCTCTTTCTATGTACATATGTACGGATTTAAGTCTGTGGTCGCTTGTGCAGTTTGGCGTACATGGATGTTAATATGTGGGTCTGAATACTTAGTATATGACATGTGTATGGTATATCAACATTAAATGACTTGGTCTGTATCTGTATGTACAAGTTCTTTTTCTTTTGTCAACATAAAAAATAGTTCATAACAAAATTTCACACTGATATCTTCAATTCATCTAAAGATATGGATAGAATCCAAAAATATCAAGATCACAATTTTAGCACCAATAAATAAAATGAATGGTTAAAAACCATGTTGGCACAAATGTATTTACCCTCTGAGCGATTTCCCTCTCCACGATGCTGTCTTCCAAGGAGAACATCTCTGACACTGGCCTCTCTTTGACGGGCTCCTTCCTAACCCGCTCCTTCACACTGGTCAGGTCCGGCTCAGAAATGGATGGACCTAAAACAGCTCCATTCACCCCACCCTGGTCCCCTCGGGTCAGTGTCCCACCAGCAACTGCACCACAGCCTCCTCCAGGACCACCACCGCCGCCGCCCTGGCTCGGCCCAGGTTTGAATGCTCGGCCCTGGGCTTGGTTTGGGTCCATTGCTCCCTGGTTGTTCTGTGGTCCTTGATTGTGGTGGTGAGTGTGGTTGTGATTGTGGGCGTGGTTGCGGATCTGAGAGTTGCTGGGGGGTCTGGGAGGACCCGGGTACTCTGGAGGGGGTTTGTTGGGCAGTTTGGCCAGAGCTGCCTGGAGCTGAGCGCTGATGCTGATGTCTTCGTTCAGGCCTGGGATTTGAATGTCCAGCTCAGGCCTCTCTTCTTCCTCCTCCTCCTCTTCTTCACTCTCACTACTGTGTATAAGCATTGTAGCATTAGAAAGAGTCTTTTGATGCTGGTAGGCCACCGCTACAGGTGGAGCAGCCTCAGGTGCTTTCTGGGCAGGTATCTGCTTGGGCAGCTCCTTTGTCTGCAGAGGTTGAGGCTGAGGTGGAGGCTGGGGCTGCGGTTGTGGCTGAGGGGTTTGGGGCTGGGGCATAGATTGGGGCTGAGGTGGCATCACATGTTCTCTAAGAGTATTCCTCCGATGAAGCGGAGCATTCATGCTTTTCATCACCAAGCCCTCCATCCCTCCGCCTCTCATGCTGCTGATCACCTCCATACTGTGTCTCTTGCCCAAGGTGGAGCGGTGCTTAGCAACTGCAGTCAACGGTTCACTAACCTCCTGAAGGGACTGGTGCACAACAGCTGAGCTGTCCGGCTGAAAGGTCTTGACCGACAGCTGCACCATGCGGGTGACCAGCTCTGGACTGCTGCCCCCGATGCAGCGGTGGCGGTGGCTGGCGAGGTCCGGTGTACTGGTGGCCGGGCGGAAGGAGCTGGAGGGGTAAGGTGGAGGAGGTCGCGACATGTGGTTTCTCAGCATGTTGGCAGTAGCTGCATAGCTTCCCGCATTGGTGCCCTGTTGTTTGGTGTTTGCCAACTCAGGTGTGCTGACAGTGTGAGAGATGGAGCTTCCTACGCCACCGCCTCCACCACCGTTGACACAGGGTGAGTGACAGGGGCCCTGGCTATTGGCTGGTCCTCCCTGATGAGGGCCATGGGACACTGGCTTACTGTAGCTGATCTGCAAGATGGAGAAAAATAACAGAAATTTAGACAAGAGCAAGAAACTGTAAAATCAAAGAGTAGAACAATTTATTCAATCCAGCATTACCTGTGGTGTGTAAGGTCCAGGGCTGGGCCCCAGGCCATGATAGGGGCCCCTCTCCCTCATCTCTGGCTGGCTGTACACCAGAGCTTCAGGCTGGCGGTAAGCACAGGCGTTACTGATGTTCAAGCTGCGCAGCGACTGGCTGTGGAGATCGTGGTGCGAGGGGGGCATGCGTCGCTTCTGCCTCATGACGGCATCGTACTCAGGCGTGGGCCGGTAGGACGGAGCAATGATGGCGCTGTGGCGGTGGCTGGGGATGTAGTCGGGGCGCATGAGCTCACTGCCAGGGATGCTGAGGTTGGAGGATATCGGCGAGGGCGGGACGAAGGTCTGGGAGTGGTTGAGGGAGCTCAGGCTGGGGCTGCTGTACATGCTTCCATTGGGCACGGTACCATTTCGGAAAGGATAGTCCGAGGGGCAGCGGTCCAGACTCGTTTCTGACTTGTAGTAGGGGTCGTCATGGAAGATGCTGTCTAAAAAATACAAGAGTAAGGATGTATGAATAAGGAGAGTAATAAAAAATAAGCTGTGCTGCCTAAAGTTTTTTAATGCAACCAATCTTTACATATTTTCTTGCACATGTTTTTGGTTCTCAGGACCAGTGTGGACATAGAAACAGTGAAAAGACAATAACAAAGCAGCACTTGTGAAAGTGTAGTTATCAAAAAGTGCCTGACTTAAAATGATTTTAAATAATACAAAAAACAAGCAAAAAAACGGTAGCCATTAAAATCCCTTGATGTGTCCCTGAGAGCAGACCTGGTTCTTTTAAAGAACCTGACATGTAATTGATCCTGTGCTACAGTGAAGGTCGTTGGGGTTTGTTCAAGTGCTGTAGTTTAATTTTCTCAGCTGTTATACAGACATAAATCAATGAACACTCTTGATGGCAGCCACAAAAATCATCATTGTTGGTTTCTGGTTGCACAGCAGCACAAACCAACTTAGAAACATTCTGAATATTTCCTACCAGTGGGAACAGTATAGATGTGGATAATGTTCTTCCCACCATAACGAAGGAGACAGAGCATTTTATCGCTCTTTATTTGACAATGGAGCATTCTCTCGTCTCGTGTGAACGGTCTCAAGCCCACAAACTGGCAGATGCACACAATCTCCGTCCACGCAGAAAGTGTGTGATGCCTGAGGTCACACTCCAGAAATTATCTCACACCCTCACATAGTAGCAACACCCAGATTGTTTTTTTCCACACGCGCTGTTTTTTACTGTCAGGCCTGACAGAATGCTTTTCGGATTATGAGGCGGACTGAGTGTGTGAACAAGTTAATGAAAGAGTGAAGCGCAAATGAGGTCACCGCTCTGCACTGCTAACAACGCGGCTCTAATTGGCTGGGGCGATTGTTTAAAATTCAAATGGGTGGTGAGTCACACGCCGAACGGGAAGGGCACAATTAGCTCCATTGAGATGCTTTGGTTATTATGAGGGAGGCAGAAATCATAAATCACAGTGTGGTTAAAGCAGTGAGCTGGAGGGGTGGAAACTTGCACGAAATGTGTTTGTTGTTGTCCGTGGGTGTGTGTGTGTGTGTGTGTGCATTTTAAACATACCTTGAGAGCTCTGTGGGTCCTGATAATGCTCTCCATACTGGGAATGCATCGACTGGAAGTTACAGGACTGGGGCCGCGACTAAATAAAGAAACACATTAAAGAAGATGGAATTAATTGCAATTCTCTGTATACATCAAGTTATATTTTTTATAATGATCCGCAAATATCAGAACAGACTCTAAATAAACGTATTAACTTTCCTGAGTAAAAGACGTAATAGACGTATAGATAGATTACATTTTCTTTGCATTACTAAGCAAAGCCATTACTTTACCACAAGTCATTACCACAACAGGTGATAATGACTGACTCAGACCTTCTCTGAGGCCGTGGAGCTGTCAACCGCTGATGCCTGCGGTTCTCCAAACAGAGACATCTGAGGAATTGAGTGGACTGACTGAGCGGCTATTGTGCCACATTTAGCGCAGCCATTGTCTGGCCAGCAGGGAAAGGAGACGCACAAATCACTGCCTTCATTGTCGCACCGGAAATGAGCCTGAGCAACACCCTTGCAAACTTTCCAGCAACACCCACCACACCAGCAGAGCATGTTTAAAACTGAGGCTCCGCAGCACAATTAAGAGCTGGCCTGAGTGGGAGAGCGGGGTCAGATCTGTAAACCACGGCTGCTTCTGTCTTCCCTCTCTGTCTCCTGGCTCCTGGTCTCATTTATACAGGCCAGAAGGCAATAATAAAAATAAACAGGGCTGCGTCAAAACACTGAGCAAAAACCAGTGACGTTATAGAGAGAAAATGCTTCTGACGGTACCAGAGAGAGGCGGTGGGTCCATGTGGGTCTCCTTCGGATTGGTGCAGGTGAGTGAGTGGGCCTGCGGAGAAATAAAGATGATGAATCACAAAGAAAAGCACTGTGAACTCTGCATCGTTACACAATCTGTTTTTTATGTGTTACATTTTTTTATATAACCCTCAAAAGGTTGGTGAACTCGACTGGAAAGTGAAAAGGCAGATAAAACCGGATCTAAATGTTTGTAACGGCCTTCAGTCGGCCTCTCCGCGTGACCTTGAGACTTACTCCGCACAGATCTTGTTCTGTTTGTAGAATTTGTGTCTGGCCGTGAAGAGACGGGAGATGTACTTGGCCATTTCCATATCCTCCTGCAGAGACAAACACACAGAAAGGAAAACATTGATATTTCAAATTAAAAGTATTTATAGATGATCAAGACCACATTTGCCCCTGCTGTTATCTCTGAGCTGGGATATCTGGGAATGCATTGTGAGAATGTGTGTTTTTTCTGTTGCACTTCCCACTAGAAACCTTCAATGCTTGTGTGTGTGTGTGTGTGTGTGTGTTTGTGTGTGTGTGCTAAAGTCAGACACAACACTCACCATGTGAAAAATGATGGTGTCGTCTTTGCTTGTTATCTCCACTGTGATGGCTGACTTGTTGTGTGCTATGGTACCAATGTCCTTCCACCTGTCGCACACACACAAAATTCACACAAGATTGAATTTTCCCACACAAAATATTTCATTTACTTGCAAATTCATTAAAAATGTATTTTCACCACTAACTCATTATAAAAACATCCACGAGGAATAGTCAAATAAGAAAGGGTGACTTACTTGTGGAGCATGATGGATCTGCCATTTCTGTGTTTGACAAACACCCCAATGAAGGAGACGCCGATGAAAATATCATTGGTGTAGTTGTCCTGTGGGAGAGGAATGGATTCAAAGTCTTCTCACTCTCAACAAACTGGCTACTCTGGAGATGCATGTGTATGTGTCGGTGAAGGAGGCTCAGTGAGCTTTGATTTATCTACCTTGGCAGCAAAGCTCTCGTGGCCAAAGCCGTCCAGCTTCTCCACCTCCTTGATGTACAGCAGCTCTGCTTCAGCGGCCTGCATTCGACTGGAAAGCACAGACAGATACAGGAATGTCAACGTCTCTGAATCTTTTTCTCATGTGCATACGTGCAAACTGGATAAGATGATGATGACGGTACCAGTGACTCTTGTGCTCCTCAGCAACTTTCTGGGTCCACTCCTCCAGCACCTCGTCTCCATTAGGCCAGTTCTGGGAGGAGAGAGACAGCAGCGACACGTGAGACATGGATGAGGAGAAAGGGAAAGGAGAAGCAACAGGTGATCGAAGATAAAAAAAATGGCAAGGAGAGGGAAAGATCAGCAATTGGGTATGAACGAGAAATTAAAACATTTACTCTCTTTCTCAAACACCATTTCAAGCTGTTCTGCATACAAGAGTCATATTGAACATCACAGGGCTGACAGTGGTAAAATCTTTTATTAAACATTTGGTTCTTGCATGAGGAGGAACACAGGCGATAAAAGATGCCATTCAGGGCGATGCACAAGCACACACATGCACAACCCACTTGGACATTGAAGATTTAAGGACTCACCACTGGGAAGAGCACGTACTCCCTGAGGAAGTCCTGAGACATGAACTGAGTGAAGTCTCCAAAGTCAGCTGAAAGTCACACAAACACACACACATTGAATATAGTGGTATGATCTGAATATGCATGTTGTATGTTATTGATGTGCTGACATCATCACTTATAGACATCATTTTAGAATCAGAAACAGCATCTCCATTACACTCCCCCTGGCATGTACGTACATCCTAAGTACTGTTCTGCTGTTTGTCGGACAAGAGGAGGTGCAGCAGATCCTTCCCTCCTACAGATAAGAGCCTTCCTGATGCTACTGAGGCTAACCTTGGAGCTAATGATAAGCTAACTGTCTGTTTACATTCCCCCGAGACACAGACAGCACCCAGGAACAAGAAGATGGAGTGAGGTTGTGTGTGTGTTAAGACTGATACCATAGGAACTCAAGTGGACTGGGCTCTCCCAACGGTATGCAGCCATATTAGGTAGTGAAGTCAAGATGACCTGAGAAAGTGCGAGTTTGTGCTCACTCCTTCTCTCTTGTTCTGTCTGTCTCCCTCTGGTAGATTATCCACATGAGATGTTTGTTCAAGCGTAGGTGTGTGTGTGTGTTACCTTGTACTGCTAGGCCTGCTAGTCTGATCCCCTGCTCTACTGTGCAGTGGAGACGTCCATCCAATAGCTCCTTCTTCACCTGTAGGTAATACTGGTACCTAGAAAGAAAGAAAGAAAGAAAGAAAACATTATTCAGAGGAAGAGCTGAGTCCGATTTAAGTCCGACATTGGTGTTGTTGAGACAAGATCAAGAACATTTGTGGGCCTCCAGGCAAAAGGGACATGGGGGCCACCCAACAACGAAGCAAACCCAACCTCCCCAGAATGTCTCTACAGTCTCCTGAACATAGTCGATCACCAAATATATGGGGGCCATGGTAGCAAGGTCCTGCTGATACCCACATTTGACCAATCGTCAATGGGGAGCCATCGTGTGGTCTGTCTTTACATACAGTCTATGGGTTCTCACAAAATTGTCATTGCTGTGGACTAATGTAATCAGCCATTTTCATGGGCCCCTTTACAGCTCAAGGCCTCAGGTAATTGACCAGCTTTGGCTACCTTTTTGCAATGTCCCTGTGTTGAGATTTTGTACAGACATTCATGGTCCCTATATGGTGAACCCTAAAGACTTTGGTTACCCTCTGACCTTTCCTCTCTAAAAATTCGGTCAAGTTTTTTATGCCCCAATAATTAACCAAATTATTTGGGTTTTAACCAAATACCTGCACAACTCTTGCAGGTTAGCAGGTTAGCAGGTAGCAAATTAAGTGTGTAACTGGCTAGTAGGATAGTGGACATGGTAAAACATTCCCGCAAAACATTAGCATGTTCTCATTGTCATAGTTGGCATGTTAACATGCTGATGTTGGAATTTATTCAATGTGCTGCTGTACTGTTAGTCTTGTTTTTACGTATCAGAGTGCATACCACAGCCTCTACAGTAAGTCTGACTATGTGGGTGGTAGAATAGGCTCTTATTGGCTTTCATGAACTCACCAGGAATCGCCTGGTGGTCAATGTTATTTTTCCAACTCGCCACAGTCTCTGAACACCAATTATGTTAAACGGAGCTGGAAAACATGACGCGTCTCAGTTCAACACTTTTCACCATAGAAAAAAGAGGAGTTGTGCTCAAGGCATTGCACATTAGAAACTGAGGGATTGCAGACATCTACTGAGACACAGAGAGACGTTTTCTTCTGCTCTGGGTCTGTGCAACAGAAAGAGTGCGTCAAGAAAGTATTGGCAACAGCATTAGCCGGTAACAACAATGCCAGAGAAGCTGCTTCAGAATCCAAGTGAGGAATGAGTGAATCACCTCCATTTGAAATACCAGTGACTCATTTTTGACTTGAGAGGAATGCCAAACATATACCAGTAGAAGCTAAACAAAATTATTTAATAGGTCTGTAAATTTTCAGCCAACAGCAAAGCATGTAACACAGAGCTGATGCAAATAAGGACTGAGAAGGGACAACAGCAGCTGGACAAAAGAGGAGAATTGTAATTGTGGTGTCAATTTGCAGCAAACTGGGACTTTGTGCCCTGTGGTTTTGGGCAGAGGTGGTTTTGCTAAGCGTAAGCCGATACGATGACATTGCTCAGACTGCTGAGACCTACTTGCAGCCTTCACAAGATGCGGTACCAAGTCCCAAAACCAAGAGGCTGAAATACAACGCGCTCATTAAGTTGCTCAGCTCCTTTTGTCCACTTTTAGCCGTGGTCCAACTGAATGTTTGTCTTTTTAAGAATGGAGTGGCCACACAAGAGGAAAGAGAGGACTGTCAGGGTGACCGGGCTCAGCTGCATAAAAACCCGTGCAACGTTTCCTGTTTGTTGCCATGGTGAGCAGAGACTGAGTCTTTCCAATGTGGGCTGTGAGACACCTTTTCTAACGTCCACACACACTCAGTCTTCAGGAGTTACGAGTGCAAGCGTACATGGGACAGTCCAACACAAACTTCTATGAGGAGCTGACTGAACTATACATGCATCGTCATTCATTCATCTTCCTCATGCCTCAATTTATTTCTTGCTCTCATCGATACTACCCATGTTTCCTCGTAGTCCAACAGTTTCTTTCCCTCCGTTACCTTCTCACATCTTTCATGTTTCACATTCTCTTTCACATTTCTCCCCCTCACCCCCACCTCTTCTTCTTCTCCTTTTCTTTTTTGAGCTCTTCTCAGCGTACCCATGGGCCTATAATCTGACCCCGCCCTCCTCCCTCACCCTGTCATTACACCCGTTGGCTTAGTTGCCATTCCGTTCCCGTGGCAACCCTCTAATTAGCCAACCCCAACCACCGCGACTGCAGCGGAGGGGAGGCGGGGCCTGATGCGGTCTGGAGGGGAGGAGTCTCGCGGGACACAAAACTCTTCGAATGATTGTGGACTTTGTTTTTACAAACTCTCCATGTTTTCCCAGCACTCTCCATATGGGGTCTGGGGAAATGTTGAGGTCGACAGTGGTTGGTTCTCATTCTGAGGTTCAACGGTAACAACATGATGGTGTTTATACGTATGTGAGGCCAGCGGTGGAGAGGCTGACCGTAAACTGTTGAAATAACTATGAACAAGTGAAAGGCAAAAGAAAATATGCTTCATTGTAGACCTCATGTGAGAGCCTGAATTACACAAAACTGCCACTAAACATTTTATAGAACTGTGGTTCCCACCTATTTTGGCTTTTGACCTTAATACAAAACTGTGTCTACTTGTGACCCCAGAGAAAAAGTTGTATTCCTCGATAGGTTGGGACTAGTTCAAGAAAAAAAGTTGAGGGGTAAAATTATCCTGGAATTCACAAGAAAAATGGTAAGTTTGCTTTTATGTTTTCTCCCCCTGTTCATCATCTCATGTTCTCTCAAACTGTGTTGAGAACTACAGGTTGGACGTAATGACGCCTATGTTTACACGGACAACAATATTCACTACAGACCTTATTCTGCACAATACTCAGATTATGATGTTTGCATATACTGCTAATAAAGTATTCCATTCATATTACCTTAAGCATGTTGCAGAGCATAGTCTAGATTATGAATCAAGTCAACCCTCGACATGCATCATCAGTCAAATGATGACTTTAGAAAGTTAATGTCACAACATGCTGTGTGAACTCCATCAAGTATGTTATAATGAGATTAAGCCGTATACATACCTACGTAATGCAAATATGTAAAAACTACCTAAGGTAAGCAGAAAAATGATATATTTGTCCTATATACAAGTACAGTTTGACCACTTACAGATACAGAACCTCTGAACTTCTGGTTAGATATAGTTGTAGTTAAATTAGTTTGTTGCTGGGCTGAAGGTTTTTAGTTTGGGAAAAACCCTGAATGATTCAAGTCAAGTCTTGAATAATACATCAGACTTGAAATCAACATAGACAGGGGTCTGGAATATGTTATTTTATCAAATAATCCAACCCACGGAGGAAATCTACAAACTGCAAACCCCTCACTACAAGTTCATGATTCAGTATTTAGGGAAAGACAATCCTGTCATCAAACATTAATATTTTTCAGCCAATAATTTAAAGACATTTAGTTACATTACAATTTCTTTGTTTAAACATAAAGACCGTTAGTTCCAAAAATGCTACATGCGTTGAGTAGAAAGTATGAAATGCATGAGCTTCAATGAAGCAAATAATTCGATTTATAAATTAGATCTCCTGCTTACACGTAGCTATGCACAAAGACGTCTTCACAGCCACACACACCTGGCATGTGCTGTGTGTCTGGCATGTACGTCTGAATGACGTCATGCTGTAATAACAGGTGAACATACATACACAGACATGAGGCACAGCTCTCCTCACTTGGAGTTGCTTGTGACTTCCACCATGCCAGAGAGCTCCGCTGGCACTCCAGGCAGCCACACAGGCACAAAGAGCCCTTTATATGCCCACGCATGTTCGAGCCTCGCTCAAGACACGCTGCCAGATGTCCGAGTAGCCCGGACAACAATCCTGCGAGCATGTGTGCACGCATGACATGAATGTGTGTATGTTTGCGCAACATATGCCTGAACCCACCCACCCCCTGCGCACCCATCATCTATGCAGTGGTGTGACCCCGACTGCCCCCTCGGCCCTGGGATGGGTGCAGACGGCTTGTGTGGGAGGGCAGGAGGATTTCACTTTGAAATGTGTTGAATCAGCAAGGGGCACAACAGAGTACAGCTGTGTGTGTGTGTGTGATAACTAGTCGAACAAAGCTAGGATTTCAAGGCAGTTGGGGCTGTTAGCCTTGGGGGCTGCTGGGCCAGCTGGCCTCGCTCTGGTCAACAGCTCTCTGTTTAGGTTCCTCACTTTCTCTATGGACCACTTTGCTCCTCCTTCATATCAGTGAGTCAGAAGGAACAGAAGGTTTCAGACACAGACGCACGCACGAACGCACACACGCACACGCATCTGGATATGAAATGACCTATAAACACACAGCCCCATGTTGCAACATCTGTAGTTTCCCTCCATTATTCAATTTCTGTCTGACCCTTTTCTGCCATGTCCTCGTGACCATCTTGGCATAAATATTTCTATGACAACACGGTGGAGAACCTAACAAGATATTTTCGCTAAGAAAAAACACAATGCTTGATTAGAACTAAGAAGCAATGGGTATATAAATTAATTGATTATGAATTATTTAATCACTTTGGGGTTTTTTTCATTGTTTTTCAAGCTTGTTCCAGCTAATATCAAGGTTTTACAGAGTATTATAGAACTTGACTTTCTCTGGAGTTAAGACTGTTGGTTGGCCGATGTCATGATGTGCATTTCTTACTATTATCTGACTGTTCATAAACCAAATTAATCATATTTTTAGCTGCACAATTGATAACTGTGTTGTAGGAAGATTAAATGTAGCTTCAATAATGTTGGAAAATACTAACTATCTTCCTCTGATTACTGTGTTCACAATTTAATAATCTGACTTCACGGAAAAATATAATTCATCTTACTGAGGTTATGGCCATGAGCATAACTGCATTAACACAACTCATACAGTGTTTATACAGCTCCAGCTTTCTTGCTTTACCACCTCAATTTACGCAATAGTTGGATTATCGGTGTGAAGATGTAACCACAGCGGGGGGGGGGGGCAGACCGACGCTCATGGATTTGAAACCCCCAGCTCTGGGTTGATTTACACAGCTGCATGTGGGGAGGAAGAGAGCGAAGGAGAAACAGATGAATGAATGGATGGACGAGGAGAGTGAGATCCAGTATCAGGTTACACATCCGTCAAACTCTGAACTTCAAACAGACGCAACCACAATGTAAAACTCGCATTATGTTCTCAGTAAATCTCATTTGCTCACAGACAGAGTGAGATGTCTCTCTGTTAATATGTGATATAAT